ATTTGAATTGTGGGAGTTCCGATCGTAAAAACTGCACCCAGATAGTTACAATGCATGTTTATGTATGTACCCAATCACTTTTTGAGACATCTTCAGAATACTAGGACGGACGCTTTCCTATAGAAATAACTAAGTTGTTTCCGGATATACGAAACACTTAAATAAAAAATGTTTTTGTGAAATTTGGCAGAATGTCCAATGGTGAAAGAAGTGTCAGAAGAATTGGTTCTTGTGCACTTAGAAACTTTGTGTTGTTAAGCATAATTAGAGAAATTTGATAAAGGCAGATAGGGACCGATTATCTGATCCCAACACATAACAGTCTGTGGATATTGTCAGTGGAATGATGGTGTCGGTAAACCCCAGGTAAACTTAATTGTTATCACTGCAGATCTTGTCTTGACTTTTGTGTTTAGCGACCAGGACTCCACGATGAATGAAAAGGGCAAATATTGACGTGGAATTTTATCGAGTCTTTGTGGACATTCTTTCTACCGTTCATTGCGAAGACTGCGATGATCCTCTATATTTCGCTGCGGTCGGCGTATTATCTTTATTATCTGTTTATGTCTTAATTAACCTCATTATGGAGATATTTAGCTAATTGCATCGCAGAGCTGTCTTGGTTTGTCGTAGTTCCAGTGACTCGATGGGTGGTGGTAATTGAAGCTCAGGTGTGCCCGACAAATACGTGTTTACTTGTGACACCCGAAAAGAATACTTGTGCACACCTGTAGAACACCTTGATACGTTCCATATCTTATAGCACACCTTTCGGTATTACGTACCGGAGGCTTTTTGGTGTTGCATACCTGAGATGCAAATCTACCTTTCTAACAAAAAAGGAAGTACTGTTTTGTAAACAGAAAGTTACATATTTACGCTAGAGAGACCAACCACTCTTAACTGTAAACAACTTTGAAAATTTGTTAAGTTCATGTTTTTTTTTCTATATTTATATTAAGACAAATACATGTTGTTTGCCGTTTTTCTCAGTAATGTTGTAGATGAGTGGTGATGTAGCAAATATCATGTCCCTTTATATTTATACTAATTAAGACAATTACAGGTTGTTGGCTATTGTAGGAGTTTTGAATTTATTCTCAGTAATGTTGCAGAAAAATGCTGACGCAACAAATATCATGTCCCGTAGTATAGTGGACAAGCCCAGTGCTGCTATAATCTAGAGGCAGATATTGAATCCTTGTGATTGTGATGTTTTTGTGAAAAAATAAATTATCAAAAAAAAAAATCTTCGTATTAACTCTTTGCTAAAATAAAGCGGCATGGCAACACCAAGTCAGAAAAAACCTTACAATTTGGAACTCTTCTTTGTTGAAGATACAAGATGAAAAATACTGGAACTGTACCTTAAGACTGACCAAAGGCCATCAGCACAATGCTTTTAACATGTAAAATTTACTATATTAAATCAGTTATTTATAATTATTTAATGATTTGATAAACTTCACTATGCAATTACAAATAAGGACCACTGCAGTCAGAAATAAGATCCACATTAATTTCTAACTGCATATATAGGGAGTGTCTGGCAGGTCAAATTATTAGGAAAAGTAAATAAAATAAAAACACTAACATAAAGCAGTAAACATCTGGTTTGGTGAATTATTGCGTATTTCAAGTTTATCACAACCATCATTAATATTCATGGACAATATTACGGCCTTATGCATCACATTGATACATGTTTGTTTTACACCTGTCCTCCGCAGGGTAAGTAATTATATTACCTGTATTATACATCCAGCTTCGTTAATGACTATTGTAATCTGTATCAGCTGGTCGAGTAACCTGGAGGGATTTGTACCTGGAATGCATCTGCATACTTTTTCTGTGTACTTTAGTTTTTAATGTTTTCTCCGTTCGGAGTAAATCCACGTGTCACATACATATGAAACACAGGCTGACATGTGTTGGACACCTGAGGGGGAAATCAAATATAAACACGCTGTACAATATACTTACCATTGAGGTATCGCCACTTGCGGCAGGTAATTAAAATATTGTGGGTTTATGCTAATTTGAACAAATTTAGCTGGTCAAAAGATCAATAGTGGGCACATTTGTGAGCTGGTTTTACTTTCAGAATGAGGATGTTATACTTGGATATATATTTTTTCTCTCGAAAAAGAGAAGTGGAATATATAGGTTCATGTGACATATGCAAAACCTGTGTAATAAAAATATGAATGTATTTTAGATTTTTTTTTTTTTTAATACATTATCATTGAATCACACCATTTTCTAACACGCAACCTCAGACTATTAAGGATCCCTGTCCCACTGCACTGTAGTTTTGGTCTCGCCACCACAAAGTAGCGGAAGCGAGACTAAGGTGTTGCATTTCTGGCGGCGGTGCCGTCAACATTAAGTTTTTGAGTTTAAGTTAGTTTCACTGAAAATATAAGCGCTACACCAACCAAACTTGGACCACAGATGCATCTTAGGTAGTACATCTCAACCCATACATCAAATGCTGGATACAGCCTACCTTTCATGGACCATTGACTTTTTCAGCATCTCCATTCACATTAAGTTTTTGCGTTTAAGTTAGTTTCTCTGATATGTGCATTGATGGTCAAAGAGGACTAGCGAGACATATCATTCCGAATGGCTTGTTTCTATATATATAGTACATTCAGAACACTGTTGTTGTTTATATTTTGTCTCATAAAAGTCCCGCAAAGTTCTTATTTTATTTTCAGAAAGATTTATCAAAAGAGATAATCATGCCTAAAAAACAGTTTCCTATACTTAGTTACAATTTTTGGCAATGTGGTATTGGGTCCTTAATTGTTATTTTTCATATATATTGATTGAAAAGAGTGCTTTTAGAAGACAGATTGAAAGGTAATGTACCTCTGAAATTCTATGTCTGCAAGTAAAAGAAGCAAAAGTCACTTTGACATTTGTGACCTTGATAAAACAACATGCATGTGATATTGATATACTTCTAGTGAAAAGTTAAAAAGAAATCTGAAGCACGATGTATTTGAGAAACTTTGAATGGCTGGTGATTTGGTAGCAGAAGTCAGGTCAACATTCAAATCTAATGTTGACAGGCTGTTGTTGGTACAGAGTTGTCAGACAATGGGGGGATGAACGGGTCTGGGAGATAGATCTATGTGTTGTGTTTGTGGCGGGACTGGGACAATAAAGCACGGACAAAGACTCGACCAGTAATGTCCTCATCAGTTTCAATCCAATTAGACTATATAAACACTGGTATACTGTCCATCCCAGTGCTGAAAGCGTGACATGTTATGATAAGGCGCGTTCCGGCTCCCGTAGTCCTGGCCGGCTGTTGTTCCACACCCCCTGCTCAAACTGACCATTGTATGGCCACAGTGGACATGACAAGTGGACACTGGTCACTACTGGTCAGCCCTGCCTCGGGACTGGTCAGAAATGTTTAGTGTCAATCCACTTGTCTCTCGTAACTGACCACTAGGTCGGGTCTCCGTATGAATGTTTTGGTATAGATTCTAATACATATAGGTGGACATCCAAATGACCTTGACTGGCTAATGTGTTGTACTTCCTATTGCTCAAGGCCAAATTTCAAACCCGTGTTTTGTTATCATGAAAATGAATTTAACATGTTATGTAGGTATACAATATACACTGTTTCGATCGTGTTACAGATTTCAGTTTCAGAAATCCGGGTTATATAAAAATAATTACAATTTAGGAGATAAAAATGACACATACCTTGAGTTATTTACCGGAAATGTCAAGTGTATCAATGTTGTGGTTTTCAGTGTGAAAGGTAAACAAATTGATGAATTGCATTTATGTCAGCTCCAGGGCAGACAAATTGTTTGGATCAGGATGTTTGTTAAATTGTTAAGTTAATGAGATAAAATCCTGAAAATTGGATAATTAAAATTCATACTCTTCAAATGTGATTCAAATGAATTGATTTAAAAAGGAGGAAAAGAGGAGTTAATTAAAACACAATTATAGTGTCGTATAAAGTTGTCTGATTTGGTCAGATAACCCTGCTATGATTTGAGATCTTTCGATAGTATAAGACGAGTTTTATTGTCTCGCCACCACGAAGTAGCAGAAGCGAGACTAAGGTGTTGCTCTTCCGGGGGCAACATCGACATTAAGTTATTGCGTTTAACTTAGTTTCACTTAAATCATAAGTGCTAGACCAACCAAATTTGGACCATAGGTGCATCTTATAGGTAGTACATCAAAGGCTGGATGCGGCCTATCTTTAATGGTCCATTGACTTTGTCAGTATCTCCATCAACATTACTTTAAGTTTTTGCATTTAAGTTAGTTTCTCTGAAACCATAAGAGCTACACCAACCAAACTTGCACAATAGATTGCATTGATGGTCAAAGCGGGGTACAGGTGAGACATATCAATCTGAATGGCTTGTATTAGAAAATACTTCACATGACATAAATTTGTTTTTAGCGTAGAACTATTGAATTCATTTTGGTTTGATAGGAACATTTGATCCTTGGTTCTTTGTCAAGCATTGTGATATCACTTCATCTACACTTTAAAACACTTCTGAATTCCAATAGTTGTGAATATAGCATCAGATACTTGTTTAAATGGACTCAGAGAAATTAGAAAATCTTTTGTAATATGTAACATGATCTTAGAAACTGCAATACCTTCATGATATACATCCCGTCCATCAGTAGTTTGCCTAGTTAACGATAGATGCAATATCAGCCCCGAAGGTCACGATAGAGCATTGTACAGCATCTGTAACCCATGGTGTTGGTGGGCACGAGTTTGATTCCGGATGTCACAGGAAATTGTATAGCAGACTTCTGGGTGGAGGTCTTAAGTAATTTCACATTGTTTATCTCAAAACAGCCCTGAGTGAAATTATCAGATGATCAGGAAATGTACCTGTGTGGATAAATATGCAATAAATTGCTATATAAAAAAGAAAAAAAAAAGTGAATTAATAAATTAGTACATCTATGTTTTCTTCGATATTTTGTAGAGTCTTGCCCGTGAAATCATCCTGACCTTGGGAGAAGCGTTTGAGGTTGCCTACCAGATGGCGCTAAAGGAAAAGGCACAAGCAGGCGCACTTGAGTTTGATCGGCAGATGAGCCAGAGCGACGTGGAGCCGGACTCTATCAGCATCTCGTCCAAAGCTTCCATCAGCACTGTCTGAAAACAGGGTAGGTTAATAAAGCAGTGAATGTAACCAGTTGTCCTCGCCACGGAATCTTAGGATCCACTGACAAGCAGTGAATGTAACAGCCGGTTGTCCTCGCCACAGAATCTAAGGATCCGCTGACAAAACCTGTAACTATTCACTGGCTACCAGCTCTCTTTTCTGATATGAGGATAGCGTTGATAATTTATTTTTGAAAAGAAAATAATTCATTTCTGAATGATAATTATGATATAACCAAGGAAAAAATCTATAAAGATTGCATGAGCTACGGGCCAAGATTTGAACTTTGGGCCACTGATCATTATACCGTCTCTCTAAACAACTGAACTGCCTGGTCAACAGTAGTACCCTGGCCGAATGCCACTACAGTTATATCCAAAACACAAAGTAGTGGGACAGGAATCCTTAATAGTGTTTTACCCGTAGTGGGACAGGAATCCTTAATAGTGATTTACCTGTAGTGGGACAGGAATCCTTAATAGTGTTTTGCCTGTAGTTGGACAGGAATCCTTAATAGTGTTTTACCTGTAGTGGGACAGGAATCCTTAATAGTGTTTTACCTGTAGTGGGACAGTAGTCCTTAATAGTGATTTACCTGTAGTGGGACAGGAATCCTTAATAGTGTTTTGCCTGTAGTTGGACAGGAATCCTTAATAGTGTTTTACCTGTAGTGGGACAGGAATCCTTAATAGTGTTTTTAACTCATTCACCCCTGAAGACACATTTGAAATCTTTCAAATCAAAGGTTGGAATAGTTCATTATTAAATTTCAGAGGTGAATGAGTTAACAAAATTTCTTTATAAAGTAAGTCTCATTATAAACAATAACTATTTGCTAGATGTTATGGTTGGAGTGGTCTCCCTTGGATCAGCACTATAGCACTGCAGTTAGTTTGGAGTGCTGTATCCACTATAGACCTAGCTCCACGTAGATTTATACATCAACCTGATATGATCTGGTAATGTCAGATTTAGTCCATCCATATCAGTTAAGTAGGTAATGTTGTAAGATTCCATTTACCACAAGCTATCGTGTTTTGTGTGTCCCTAGGGGGCAGGGAGTGTATCTGGGGACAGGCCACACACTAGAACTACAAAGACCATGTGACAGAGAGCAGGGTCGCCATGCTCCGTGACTTGGGCCGTAAAATCACTTTACGTTACATAAACGGAACATAATTTCAGGGCAGGTTGTATCATGTGGAGGGAGTAGCTATTAGGATCAGGATAAAGAAAGCCTTGGGAAGATTTATGTTATATAAGTTTCGGAGCACATGTATAAAAAAGGGCACAATTTTAGGTTATCGTGTGCTTGTTCTTATAGTCTCGATTTTAATTTTTTCAACGAAAGGCTGATATACTGACTGCGTAATTTTTGATTTTTCAAATGGGCTATTATGTACCTATCCCAGCAAACACTGATGGGATGACTTGTTGACAATGTCGAACAGATGTGCTCGAAACTCTCAACCAACTGGCAAATATTTTCATTTTCCTGACTTGTAATTAATAGCCTGGAATTTTTAACGCAGACTAAAAACGTTAAATACGTATCGATATGCGATGTCACTTAAAAGGCGGTTAAATCTCTTTCACCGATTTTCTGTCCTTTGTTCGTGCGCAGTGACCTCCCGCAATCGATCCGTTCTATATCTCGCTGAAGGCTGTTTTGACGTGTAAAATATACGTTGCACAACAAAAGGCCATGTTAAGCTTTGGCCGGGCTTTATCAAGAAAATTAAAACGGCCATGAACCAGAGCCAAGTGAGGTATGTCAAAAAATTGCACAACCCAGCAAGCACCTGCCAATCAAAATACCCTGTAAAACATTTGCAATAGGCGGGGCCTAGCAATGACTAATAAAATTTGTTGGAAAAAAAAAATGTATGTTTTTCGTGGGTTCCAGCAAGATCAATAAATCCTTCCCATAACTCCAATGTGTGTTTAAAGTGTCGTCAAAACCATGTCCGGGGCTTTGTCAAATAATGTGGAGGGCGGTGCTTATGACATTTCGCATTGCTTTATTTGCCTGTGTTTTGTAAATGTGTCAACCCCGAAATAATCGATTTACGTATTGCTTGCTTTTTGTGCAGAAACCATAATAACACCTTTGTTGAACAATTGTACGAGTGTATGGATCAAATGTAGCCCTGCACCCTAGGCAGTCAGGCAAATATATAATCGTACATTATAATCGTAAAACGGGCAACCCCACTTTTTTTATTCAGATAATGGTGAACGTTGTTGTTTCACTAGAAAACCCAATCGCATCCTGAATACATGACATGCTACACGATAAATAATACAATGTCAATGGTACTTGGTTATTTATATATGGGATGCATGAAAAGAAAATATGACATGTTAATTTTCTGTAAGACTATAGAATTTTGTTCGATGTATTTTTAGAATGCCTATAATGTGTATATCAGGTTGTTTTATTGGCTGCTCGTTAGAAACGTTTCAATGTACGTATGCAACTGTCCTACAGTTACTGGTGTCTTGTCAAAGTGTAGAGGAAAACAATCCTGACCAATGTTCAAACAATTTTGACAGCTTTCGTTGTTGAAGTTTTGCAAATTTACACAAATGTATATTTGAAATGCCAAAGGGTTTGCCATGAACTTTGGTCATAAATTTAGTATCAAGGCCAATTTGACCTATATTTTGAAGATCTATACAATGCTAAAAAACAACCTAGCTGTATTTACTACCAACAAAACATTTCTATATACATCAACTAGTCTGTGTTCCCTATACTGTGCTTTGCTAGTGGCCAAGTAACTTGGGTCAATGGCTGTGTAAGCCTTGGCAATTTGCCTGTGTAAGCTTCGTAGAAACTTTGTTATGCTAGTGGCCCAGAAACTTGACTCCATGGCTGTGTAAGCAATTTGCCATGTGTTGGCACCATAGAAACTTTATGAAAGTGGCCCAGAGACTTGGCTCAATAGCTGTGTTAGAAACTGGGTCGTGTTAGCTCCTAAGAAGCCTTGCTATGCTGGTGTCCTAGAAACTTGGATTCGACTTTATTCTTGCTCACAACTTGAGTATGTAAACAGCCACTTAGACGCTAATGGCTCGTGGTGTCAGGGACCTAAAAACACAGTTCTTTAAAGTGTGATCCTGTTAAGTCAATAATCATTGCTCTTCTGAAACAGATTTTTTAATATTAATTTCCATTTTGATCAAATACACTGTCATTTGTATTTATCCCGATTTTGGTGTAAAGGGTGTTTGTATTTGTCCTGATCTGGGTGTAAAGGGTGTTTGTATTTGTCCTGATCTGGGTGTAAAGGGTTATTCTAAATATCATTAATACAGGCAGGATTTCTGTGAGCTATAAAAGAGAATATTTATATAGTTGTAGTAGGATTGGAAAATGGGCAAAATAAGATTCGAACCCGGGACCCTCCGAACTTTAGACAGATGCTCTACCAATTCAGCAACCTGGTCACCGACGAATGATCCAGTCCAGTCCTGCTATTGATACTAAAGAATGGTGTAATAATAGGGAAACTCTCCTCCATGTTGAGACGAACATAACAAGCTGACCATTTGATGTTCCTCAAAATGACATTCCAATATTGATGACATATGTATATAAACTTTATTTATTAGTCCCCTAACAGTGAAACTGGGGGGGACTATAGGTTTTGTCTGCGTCCGTCCGTCCGTTACTTTTGGTTAAGGTTTTGGTTAAAGTTTTGTAATGGGTTACCATACACTTAATAATGATGTTAGTATGTTGATTATTTACACAAAGGTTCTATAGGGGTCTAGCATTAATACTGTGGATTGAAAATGGATATATCTTTTCAATTTTTGACATGTTTTCCACTTAACTATCATGGCCAAAATCTGCTGGTTAAAGTTTGGGTTAAAGTTTTGTAATGGCTCACTGTGCACTTAATAATAGTGTAAGCATGCTGATTTTATATACACAGGTTTGTTAGTGATCTAGTGTTAATGTTATTTAATGACAGTGGAAAAATAAGTTTATTTATTTTGAATTTTTGACATGTTTTCAACCGAACTATCTTGGCCAAAATCTGTTTGGGGGCCGGTAGGGGACATGTATTGATTCATCAATACCCACAGAATGCTTGTTTTACAACAATTATGAAACAAGTTATTTCAAATTATATTAATCACTCTTGTTGGCCCAGATGTAAGCGCGCGGGGGATCTTCTTGTGGGAGGAAACCGGAGTACCCAGAAAAAACCCACTTGGTCGGGCAGGTGACCCCATACCTTTTCACGTCTGATCAGGGTATCGAACTCTGGCCGCCTTGGTGAAAAGCATGAGCGCTATCCACTGCACCACCCGACCACCTGACCACCCTGACCACCCTGACCACCACCCGACCACCCTATTGATGACATATGTCACACTGTTATTTGTGTAAATATTGCAGCTTCTAAAACTACATTTAATCAAATCAATAGAATTTTTAAAAAATGAAAATTTCCAGGACAAGTTGCATTATATGGATCAAAGTTTATAAGCTGATTAATAATAAACATCATTATTATCAGAGCCAGAAATGACATTTCAGACGGAGGGAAAGATGATCAGAAAAAATCCTTTCTTGTGCTTTTCATCAGTTTCATTTGAAACATGATAAATTTCGAGGAGTAATGAATTTTCAACTGCAACATTAGAAATTCCAGACAATATTACTAATGTAAAATAAAACTTCACGATTGATCGTTTCTGGAGCTTTATAAACATGATGAGTCTTGACTGTCTTTTATCAACGAAACAGTAGCAGAAAATTATCAATTCTTTCACATTTGAATTTGGAAGAAAAAGACATTAACCAAGTAGCACCAAATCCTGGGGAATAAATATGCATCAAAGACTACCCGGATGGCTTTAGCAGCAATCGTAATGGCCCCATTTATGTATGATGCTACGGGGATGGAGTTTGTGTAATTTCTGTGTTAATCCCAGCATTTCTGGGGCTAAAAGTGTCAGTCTGTCCTGAGAGATTACGGGGTCCTGTCTGAGGCTATAGCTAGCCACATCTCATTGTTTACAAATATGTGCAGAATTGACTGCAGTGTATGGGATTTGTGTTTACTTTACCGCACTAACATGTGGAGAACAATGGCGTCATTGTTGGGACCGAGGTTCGGGACATAGGGGTGGATAGGGGTAGTGATATCGCCAAGGCAATACTGCTCTTTGGATTGCTTTTTTTACCTTTTGACAAATTTAGCTGTCAATATTTCTTTCCCAAAGTTCTGGATTAAGACAGATGGGTGTTTGTGAAATGGTTGGTATTTGGATAGTTTTATAATGATATTTAATGTACTAGAGTCACACTGCAGACATACTGGCAACAGCGGTCATAGAAACGTGGAAACCTCGGACTGGCCCGGATCCTTCAGCCCGTCAACCACGCTCTAAATCACGGTCTGATGGAGGGGGGAGGGTAGATGCCAGCCTCAATGGTGTATCTTGCTTAGGGAGACATTGCTACCGTTTGTGACAGAGAGAGTGATGGCAATATTAGCATATTTGACATTGTATAGAAACACTTCAGCGGTCACCATTACTGATCACGGCTATTCTGATTGATGAAGTCGAATATATCTCGACTTTATCGGCCGCGTAAATGTCCCCATTGTTGAAAACTTTGTTTAGTACAGTAGTGTAAGCGGTCGTAAGGGATCGCATGAATTTTCACGGTCAGTTACTCTCAGGAAATAAGTACAAGCTATTTTAAATTGGTGTGGAGTTGTAACATTATGTAGCCAACCTGCCATGCCGGTAATGGGGCGATCTTTACATAATGTGGCGATAATGTTTAGGCTCGAGTTTGTCTTTCACAATACAAGATGGATGGCTATGGGGGCCTCTCTGGACTGGGCCGAGATTTAATGCTTTGTTACAATCGTGTACCTCTCGCGTGCTTTGTAGTATCCAAACTAGCCAGCCTCTCTACCACAGCCCATACAGTTCATGTTATTTCATGTCGTTGCCGTGAAAGGGACGTGTCTTAATGTTTTCGACACTTTGTAACAGAATGTTTTAAGATCATGTGTTTCCTAGTCTATACGTGTTTCCCGTGGGATTTGGAATTCATTTTAAGCCATAGACTGACCAGACATTCTCTACCAGTTCTTTCCAAGTATTTGAAATTTCTGTAAAATTACTCTCCTTGGAATAAATAAAGTACAGAGCTATGCCTGAAATATGGTTAAACTCTTTAGGCTGTTGATATAATAAAAGATACTGCCTTAACTCATTCACCCCTGAAGACACATTTGAACTCTTCCAAATCAAAGGTTGGAATAGTTCAATAAGAATTGTCAGGGGTGAATGTGGTCTACATAGGCATTTTATTAGTTCAGCAAAATGGTTTAAAAATTTCAGATGTAGAGTTGCTATAGGGATATTTTTTCCTGGACAATTTAGCATTGTTTTATCATTGTGCCCAAATTCAAGGTTTCACACATTATTATTAGGAAAACAATTTAAGCAGACATTTTAAGTAGATATTACAAACTCAATAAACAGTACAATTCTTACCCATACTGAAATCAGTTAGAGAGTGTAAAAGATCCTTTAAGTTTCCATCATTGTCAGGATATTATTTCTTGAATACTTGTTGATTCATATGCTTCTAGACGACTTAAACTTGTGGATTTCAGATCCTGGACATTATTTTTAAAAGAACCGTAGAATTACATTGTTATTGGCATAATTCAAATTGATTGGGATATCATTTCTAAAAGACCTTTATTTTCTCATGGTGTTTTGACATTTTTTCTTAAGAATATACATATTTACATTTTTGTGTCGCCTACGACAGATGTCGGAAAGACACATATGCGTTGCTTTTTCAACGGCGGCGTCAACAATGTTAAGGTTTTGCGTTTAGCTCTGTTTCTGACAAAGCTACACCAACAAAACCTCGATTATAGATGTAGCATGGGAAGTGGAGCCTACTGCACTAAAAACATTTCATTGATTTCTGCATTTTTTTGGGTAAAAACCTCAAATTTCTGGACTTTCTCAACGTTAAGGTTTTGCGTTTAGCTCTTACATATTATATATATATATATATTATATAGGCTGTTTCTGACAAAGTATAAATTCTAGAGCAACCAAACTTGGGTCATAGGTGTATCATGGGATGTTTAGCTGAATGCATTACACTCTTTACTAGCATTTCAACGATTTCTGTATTTTTGGCTAAAAACCTCAAATTTCTGGACTTAAAAAAACCCCTCAACGTTAAGGTTTTGAGTTTAGCTCTTACATATTAGGCTCTTTCTGACAAAATATAAGAGCTATACCAACCAAACCTCAATCATACATGTATCATGGGTAGTAGAGCCTACTACTCTCAAAACATTTCATGGATTTCTGCACTTTTTTGGATAAAAACCTGAAATTTCTGGACTTTAATAAAAAAAATGTTATGATTTTGCGTTTAGGTCTGTTTCCTTATGTACTATGTCAATTGCTTATTATATTGACAAAGCGGGACAGGCGACACATATAATTACGCGTTATTCTTGTTATAAAAGTTTATAGGTTCGTATTGTTTTGACATCATTTCCTTTTGTACAAGATTTTGTGGTCAGGGTTTTATCTCGTACAGGACCCAGTGCAGTTTCCATCAATATCATCAGCCAAAATGATCACTAGTAAACTGCAATGTTTGTTATTCTGTATAATTTTTCACAGAAACGTAGAAGCATACTTACCTCATTCACCCTAAAATTTCATAATGGACTATTCCAACCTTTGAATTGGAAGAGTTTAAATGTGTCTCCAGGGTTGAAAGAGTTAAACAACCCTTTGATCTGTCATTTTCACTAGTACATTGTGATATGGAAAATGTTTTATCTAATATTGATCATGATTGATTGATAGATAGAAATGAGGTTTATGTCTTAAAAGACTCTTTGCAAAGTAAAGGTCATGTGATGCAGGTGTGTAATAAGTAGCTGTTGAAAAAAGCTGATGGATGAATTATAATCATCATAAAGGGATTTTTTAAATTAGTATATTGCATCAAATTTTAGACGAATTACAAACTCAAATGTTTAAATCAGTATTGTTTCAAATTGATAAACATGGACATAAATATATGTAAGAAAATAAAATTAAAAAAAATCTTGATTTATTTGAAATTGATTGTTTTGTAATATGTTTTTTATTTTATTTTTCAATAGGTATGGATGTCGGCAGTGCAATAATAAAATAATAATATTCTACGATGGATGGCCAGACGATTCCTGCAAGTGTCCATTAGCAACAGAGATCGGTCACTCGGTATCCTGAAATCTACTGACCATTGTCCTCATGTGCTGACTACAGTTCGGTCATCTGTCTGTCAAGGTGACCTATCACTGGGTTAACCATATCTGCCACCTCTCTTGTGATCACCTGAACGTGACCTAGTCTTGTTACGGAATGTTGTACACTTAACCTGTCTATATAATTTGGACTGACAGAATCAATTGGAAAAGATGGAAATCCTAATAAGTTTTGTCCACTCGCGTACAGACAGAGGTTGAAATGTTAGAGACAGAAAATGGTTGTTAGGTGAAACTGATGTAAAATTTTGGATGTAAATGATTTTATATCGTAGAGGATGATCCTGTGCTAAAACTTTCAGTACTGAAAACATTGCCATCTTGTGATATTTGCTTTTTAATGATTCCATATAACATTTATCTAGTGACATCTTAATTGTACAAATCAAGGAAGGTTGACCACAGCAAAATGACCACCTGTGCCATATTATAAAGTTAAGTTCATTTATAGGGACAAGCTGCTGGATGTTTTATGATTTTGATGGTCAGATAATACAATTTTGGTCATCAGCTGACCATGGTATGCTTGGACATAAAACAGGTTTGGATGCTGACATCAGCTGACCATAGTATGGTTGGACATAGAAAAGACCACCCTATGTGTGTAGTGTTCGAGAATATTGTATCAGTAATAAATATCTTTCAACTGTGACCGTGGAAAGTGTGAAACTGGGTTCTAGGAAGATTGGAATGACTTTTCCATTCCAGAAACATGGACAGCCTTTCAATGTGGGTCAAAGAATATGGAAAGATTTATGTTGGCTTCAAGAAAGATGAGAAGTCTGTGATTTAATGCTGTAAAGAGGATGCAATTCCAAGGATATGCCGCAACGATGGCACTGGAAAATTGTAATTTAGAGAACCAAGCTCGTGAAAAATGAAATGTCAGAGTCTGTGTCAAAGAAAAATGGAAAGTCAGAGACTGGGTGATAGAAAGTTTGGGCTCCTTGAAATGAAAACGTGTTTAGGAAGATGAAGAGTCTGTGACTTTTATCAAAATTGTGAAGTGTTTTGTGGTCTTTGGCTTGGTGTTATATTCCTGCTGAGAACTTCACTGAAAACATTAAAGGCAGAGACTGACCACCATATGAAAGAGAAAACTATAGATCAAGGTCACATAGTGATTTTGGAGATATAATTGTCAAGGTCACTAATTTATGATGACAATTATTGAAGGTCAAACCTACTTATAAAGTGAAAGAGTAATTCTGGAGTCACATATAATTGTGTATTTGATGAGAAAATGAGATTTAAATGTCAAGGTCACATTTTTGTTATGTAAATAGATCAGTACCATGTTTTGTAACCATGGCAACATGCAGTGACCTTGACCTTGAAGGAAATAATATCTTGGTGGCTAGCTTAAGAATTCCACTGTGGTGTCCTACAATCTGCTGTACAAATAATACAATGTAGATTATAAGAATGTGCTGTTTGGACCATTTTGTCATATCATGAGTTCTTTCCCTTGTATTGCATATCGCGAATTAATGTCATCACCTACATCAGCTTATGCTGTGCTAAAATTTCTTATCTGCTGTTTGATTTATTTGATACTTATATGAAGTTGAGAATGTTAACTCTGTCACCCCCACATTTTTGAAATGGACTTGCCCTACCCTTGATTTGGTATTAGGTTTAAATGTGACTTTAGGGGAATGGGTTTAGGCTTGTATCAGCTAGAAGGTCACCTGGTTTTATTCACAGATCATAGGTTAGAAGATTTCTTTTTTTCTACAGTTAATGAACCTTCTGTCTCTTTTCCAAGGTCTACCTCTAATGTGTTTATTTTAATTCACAGGATCTGAATGTATAAGACTATAAATATGGGTCAATTCAGTATGATAAAAGAACATTTATATTGTCAAGCTTGCCTCCCTAGATGCCATTGTATGGTCATTTGTACTGGGGGCCTCTCTGCAGTAACCTTAAACCGCATTTTATATTCGCTAGAACTAGTAAGAAATATGAGTAAAGAAGTAACTATCACAAATTAAGAAGTCAATGCGGAAAGCCAAACAAAGTAAATATTTTTTCTGCATCATGTGACCTGCATCATGTGACCGTTTGGTCCCTATAGGACTCATCAGTGGTGCCTAAGGTTAAATGCATGAACAATCATGTCTGCAGTTCTAAGGTGTAGCACATCAATACATTGGCTATTAAGGTGCCTCACATAATCTCTTTCAAGATTACCTTGTATAGCAAATATCTTTTTTGAAAACCATTAATAGAGAGATGTGGCTTTCATTCACAGGAGACACTGCGCCTTGTGTAAACAAACTGAGACAATGATACCAGAGTAGTGATGAATAGGTTTGATTATGCCTGCATTCTACCTCTCAATTTACCCACTTAAGTTGTTTTAGTTTCTCTGTGCATGTTTTCCCAGCTCTGACAAGATTTCAGAATTTTTGTTTTAAAATACAATAGTATATTTATAAATATATGAAAGGTTACATGTAATTTTTTAGTGGGATAAGAATAAAAAAGGAAAAACAAGAATCATTCTAGAATGATGACGAAATACTTGTGGCATAATGTTCATAAAATGATTAATATTACTTGGTTTTTTTTGCCAGGTTGTTGAGAATAAATTAACTCTGTAATTTAAAAAATTATGTAGATGAAAATATCAACTTAATTCAAAAGAACTATATGACAAGCAAAATCTGTATAAAATATTGAGAGGGGGTACAAACGGACCGCAGACAGTCATCTGGGAGGTCATGTAAGGGTTACACGGTTCAGAAAAAATTTAGTTTTTTTTACGATTGTCTATGTTTATTTTTGTTCCGATTATCAATGATTGTCGGTGAGGTTTGAAGATTTATTCGAGTGAATAGAGATTTCATAAATATTGCCAAATTTGTCCACTATGGTATACCCACGCTGTTGAAGACACCTTACGTTCCATAAAAATCCGATTTTAATTGTGATTCTGTAAATCTGACATTTTCTGCTACCTCTATATAAATGGCTCTGTACTTAAAGCCATAGTCCCTCTATGTTACATCGAGTTAAATAAACCGTATGATGTTCACTTTCAACTTTCAACATATCCTTTGATAAATAATAACAAATTTATTAATTTCTTGATTGAAGAATAATAAGAAAAATGGAAAGAAATTAATTATTACCAAAGAATGTGAAAATTTACGAAAAGACTTAATGTTTGTTGGGGCTAGTGCTTAATAACGAGCTTATTATGATAGGCCTAATGCATTTCGCACATATTCTGAGTTAGCACAATGCACGGCTTCAACATTTTGTTAATAAAATCGAATTATTCCCAGAAAAGGCCCATCGCAAAAGTTGTATAATATATTGTGTAATATTATAAAAAAAATGTGTGTCAGATAAAAATATACGAAAATATTGGTTTCGCTTTGCATTAACTGGAGTTTTGAAAATGTTGTTTCAAAGCTTAATGACACCGTCACTTGTCACCATTTGTTGCAGAATTTTACCTTATTCTCTGTTTTTACTCGCATTTCTAGTATGTTTTCTACTTCAGTCACATCAAATTGTATATATGAATGAAAATAATGTATACATACTTGAGACTTAAGATCCATATTAATAGCAATTCTGTGAAGAAAGAGAAAAACTCTAATACAAACAGTCATGTAGATATAATAATGTAAATAAACTGTATATATATATACATATAGATTTATAAAAAAAATATTGTAAGATATGTACACAACTATTGCTTTTGATGAAAAATTCTCACCAGGGTGATGACTATTGATCAGTGTGGCTTCCTTAGAATAAGTACAGTGTGATACAGAAACAACCCCCCCACCTTCCCGTAATCCAATTCCCCGAAATCCCCACACCTCTTGAAACATCACCGAAATTCAGCAATCATGTCTGCACTTGCCTGTTAATTAACGAAATGTTGATTATGCATGTTTATATTTTGTTAAGAACTGTGTCTACGAAAGAAAATTATTCAGAAATATGATGATTTTGTTTTTTTAACAATATTAGATTGAATAAAAGTACTTGAGATTATGAAACATTTCCTTTTCAAGGAAACTCTAAAATTTTACTAAAGCTATGTTACAACTTTTGATTTAACAAGCTTAATTAAGCCTGTACATTAATTTTCTATCTTTTAATACTTATTAAACATATTTAAAAGTATAATTAAAATTTTAAATCTATTTATACCCATTTCTTAATAGAGATTTATTTTTTGCTTTAAATTAAGATATTGCACCCGTACATCTGTAGTGTACATATTATTCCTTCTTTAACAACTTTAGGGATTATGTCAATGAAGGAAAGAGTATAACATGAAAATAATGAAAGAATAAACTGCTTATTTGAATATAATAACTTAATTGGTTTATGCTTTCCACAATTTGCATGTTATATTGCATCTGACTTCCTTGTTGGTAATTCAATTTTTAGGAAATCATTTTTTTTTTCTTTATTCAAAATTTAAGTCATGCAAGAAACATACATGCAACATATTCTTAATTAATCTTCCATTCTTACATAGCTCCCAGACATATTTTATCAGTGCACACTTTTTAAAAATCTAAACATTGCGTTCTCCGAAAAGGTTGACACGATTCGAGCAATTCGTAAAGATTGCCAGTCTACTTACGATTTTGTCGGGTGGCGATGATATTTTTAATGCTTTGTGTTTGTAACCCGTTACATATGTTCCCCTTCGTTTTTTGTTTTTTTTGACAATTTGTTCATTATGGTGCTTTACATAACGTTCAATTTTTACTTTCGTTAGTAAAAATCAGTTTGGAACATTTTAAGCTAATGCTTCATTTGCAAACATTCCGTACAGAATATCATTTTATTTACCATTAGTCAGATACATTTATATATGTTCTTATAGAGATATATGTTGTTAACGTAAGGCTAAAGAAAAAATCGATTGATCTAGCAACCGATAGAAATTAGGTATTTTAGGTAATTCGACTGATCTAGCATTACCCGTTTTCTTTTTCGCTTTTACTTTTATTAAACGGAACGAGTTAGCGGATTAGACGTCTTTGATTGAACCAAAGTATTTACACATTTGTTTTACACTTACGATGCATTGTTTTAACCATCATTCACACTGCTATTTGTCAACAGAAAAAAATTGCATAATTCTGTAATTTAACTAAAGTTAATTATTTCACTTCAGTATTTCTATTTGTCTTTTGCATTTTTTTAATTATCAAAAATAAATGTGATTTTCTTTGCCATGATTTATTAAATTAAGGATTATTATTGAAAAGAAATTTATTTGTGCTTGATGAATGTGTTTTAAACATGATAAATTTGATTTCAGAAGGACAGTTAATTTTCGATTGTTTATTTTTAACTCAACAATAGACCAAAGTCTTCTTCCGATATTAGTATTCACTGTACCTGTGGCCCAATGCTGTGGATCAGTATTGTACAGGTGTTACCCTTTACCTCTATCCTATGTAAATGTTAATGATATGCAATAAAATTTAACAGGTGTTAACTCATTATTAAAGTTTTATATTTTTATTTCAATTCCATTAATTATGAACACTGTTGACATTTTCTCATGTTCTTTCTACAAAAAGAGTACCCCCAGTATTTAAATTACGATGACAACAAAGTCTAACTTGCATTGTTACATTATCATAGATTGATGTAAACAATATATGTATCACATATTTTACAATTTTGCCAATATCTGATGTCATGCTTGCTGTACACCTAAAAGTACCCTACAATTTATAATATGAAATCTACGCATATACAGTTAAATGTTCCTTCAAATTAAAAGGATTTTTTTTCTGTGTTAATATGTGTTATTTAGCCTTTGCTCTTTTCTCTTCAAAATAAAGCGACAGGTGATATTTTTCTACTTTCTAACAAACTATAGACTTCAAACAAAACGTATTGCAATGTTTCTTTATGATTATGCTCTTCATTCAATAATTAATACACGTTTCATTTATTGAAAATCACTTTTCAATATTTTGTATATTTGTACATACGTATTAAAAATACAAAAACAAAATTGTCATTAATTTAGAATGCTTTACAGTATCAGTGAAATATGGAAAGGAATATTATATGAAATCATGAAATCTTAAAGCTATGGCATGTGTAACATTAAAATCTTGACGCCTGAAAAGCTGAACTATGGATGCTATTTAAGCCGCCTAAATCATCACTCATTCAAAAGTGATACTCAATTGAGTCATATTTTTAATATATATAATTATGTCATGTAAAACGATAGATACTAAATTCATATCGGCATTTAATATTCAAAACCATTACATGTGGGAAAGGAAGCATGGAAAAGAAAATTGAAAACAATCATAAGCTCAGTTAACATAATCTTAAGATAAATTCTTGAGTTTCTTACCTAACTAGTATTGGAAGGAATGATTGAAAGTGAATCTCTGTCCATGTATTAAATGAGAAAAAAGTACGAATATCGATATAAATGAATCATTTAGTTAGTAACATACAACTTTAAAGTTAGAATAAAAAAATGAATACCCCTACATACATTTATAATGTACTGCGAACTGAAAAATAAATAAAAAAAGAATGTTAAATCACATATTGAGCAAAGTCAGCTGGTTATGTTGGAAGGGGGGCTGTTTGCTGATGTTTTTAGTAATTAACTCGACACGGATGCCAAGCTATTGATGGTGTTGCAAGCCTATGGCGATAACGACCTGTTTTATGCATAACATCACCTGGAAGTTGGGTATTCAATGGAAAACAAAAAATCACCAGATCTATTTTTATTCAATTTCCCTCTAGGTCGGAAATGTGAGAGAAATAGATTGTTTTCAAATACCTTTTGTAGAGATTTTACTCTTTTCAGTGTAGCCTAAAATCACCATATACCTAACGCGATAATACGAGAAATATTGTGCTATGTGCTTTGATCTATCCATGATATTGTGTGGCTGATAACCCCGACAGGTTGTCCTGCACAGGTCCACGTGGGAACAGGCTTAGTATGGAGCCAATTAAGACTTGTGTAATGACAGCAGTTATCATACCTTCTATGGGCGTCACCGACGACTGGGGTGGCCTTCCGCACCAGCGATATTGGACCACGGCAAACCTCCCGAACACCCTGCGGAATACTAATGCATGGATCCTGTACCAGTACAGAAGACAAAATGACAGTGACATTGCTCTCTCAGTCAATATCGCAGCACTTTGTAGACCAAAATCACATGTAATCGTCGACTGAAGGTAAAGGAGAAAACGAAACTGATGAAATATTTTTATAATAAAGAAACGTCCCCAAAGCACACTGTGTTACTGTTCAATAACTAAGAATCAATCTCTGATGATTCATCTTTATCCATTTGAAATTGAATGTCGTCGGTGTATAGATGGTTGGGACTCCCAGATTTCATTTAGCTTGGAAATGACCCTAGAAAGGCGTCAATATATATCCTCAATAGGCATGATTGGCAAATAACCGTGTAAGTTGTTAGCTATATGGCTAGGTTCTCTTCTTGTGTGAATAATGCAGCAGAACGCGCTGATGCACATGTCTTTCAGGTTGATTTGAGCTAATGGTTTTGTACCTGTGTGTATTATTATTAACGACGCATTAAATCGAGATAGAAATTGGGTATTTTAACCCCAGATATGTATTTTCTCCGGGTACCTATAATAGCTGCAGAGGTTACATTTCAAGGTAGCATTTTCCGTCGAGTCTGGAAGGCTTTCATAATCGTTATGATTTGTTGTAGATTCCTCCAAATTTGCTCAAGTGCATTCTGCCAGAACTTATTAAACACATCTTGACTTGAGGTGCGCATGAGATAGCATTACGTGAAGGTTAATGCATACCATTCAAAAGCCAAATGTGTAAACTGAAGAGATGTGTGGTCGACGTTTGCAAGTGTTGTCAAATAGCTTGACTGTAACCAAATACGGTTTAATATTTCATAGAGGCAGCATAGGAGGCCGAATCATGTTTAAATCGGCAGAAATCTGAAATAAACAGCTGATATTTGAGCTGTCGTTGGCAGGTGTTGTCAAATAGCCTGATTTCAACTAATTATGGTATTGTATTTCGTGTAGAGAAAGTGTAAAACGGTGATGCTTTGCTATTTCAAGCAGAAGGTAAAAAAAGGTATCGGATATTACCTTCAGTCTTTGCTATCATATGGGCTGATTTTGAATTTTGTGTATATATGACGTATAATTTTGTTTAACTATCAAAGTGCGATACATTTTGTTCACTGCAAAAGGTGTCATGAAGTCGTTGAAAGTCATTTCATACAACCTGATTATAACTAAATAATTGTAAACTTTATAACTGAGGTTTTTGCAAGGCTAACACATAAAATAGTTCTCGTCTGGTACTTTGAGCTTCTTGATTTACACGTTAGCTAATATCTTGGTAAGACTGACTTGTAAGATAGTTCTGGTCTGGATCTGAGAGATTATTATTTTATACATGAACTGTGATCTTCGTTAGGGTGACATACGATTGTTCTCGCCTGGATCTGAGAGATTCTTGTTTTATACTTGAACTATGATCTTCGTAAATCTGACATACACACATGTACGATTGTTCTCGTCTGGATCTGAGAGATTCTAGTTTTATATATTAACTATGATCTTGGTAAAACTGACACATAAGATTGTTCTCGTCAAGATAAAAGATATTATAATTTCATATATTACCTATTGTCTTGTTAAGACAATTGGACAAAATGGATAGTTCTCGTTTTGTACTTAGAGATTCTAGTTTATATTAACTAAGATATGGGTAAAGAGTAACTTAACATATGAGACAGTTTTTGTATTGCACTTGGAGATTCAATTGAGGAGTCGGTAACTTCAGAAATGTAAATGTGATTGTAAATTATTTTGACCACAACAGATAAGCACACCGGTGTGTAATTATCGTCTCTGGACAAGCAAACCCAGAATGTGAGTTTGCCCGAAAACGAAACAAGGGACCACGGATCTGTTTGGTTCTTCTAAAGACACTCGACGTACAACGGGATGTTCCCACGATTCTGGACGCTGATCTAGAATGGTCATACAGCAGTGACAGCGTACCACCTACCGTATTAGGCCTTTGGCCTTGGGGGGAAAGCGGAAAGACCCCAGTAATAGGCAGGCAAATCAGTTAACTGGTATCTCCAGGGAAGACGCCAATACTGTAATCAAAGGAAAACACATCCTCTTGATCCGTAACGCTCTCTGGGATGATTGTGTTATTGGGTTAGATGGTAACAAGGGACAATCTGCATATAAGGCGGTTTCCTTTCTGAACTAATTACCCTAGAAAGATTTCAGTCGTAACATGTCCTAAAACGAGTTTAATCACAACATACAGACCAATGTGATGAGATAAAATCATTTGAAGGATGTCTGTAGAAACTGGAGTGACTGTTTAACAAGTCTATTGTAAATACTGCCGATTCCAGATCTTGGAAGAATAGTACACACATGTTTGCTAGAATGGTCTGTTGAAACGCACGTGTGCGCATGCTGATGTGTTTTGATAGAGTTTCTTAAGCATTCAAGAAATTGTCGGATTCTTGTGTTTTGCGTGTTAAATTGAATATTTATTTTCACACGACTAACCCCCATCAACATTTGATTACTTTAGCACGATAGAGAAGGAAGCCAGCTGTGAAGAGTCCTGTTGTTTTTTGAGTCTTAAGCTTTTCTGGATCGTAACAAAAACGGAGTAAATTTAATAAACAAGAGACCATCTGAAGTTGTTAAGAATACCCATCAGGTTTAGGAACATTGTCGCTATGAAATTGGAAGCAATCCCTATATCAAAATTTCAGTTTTGAGTGTCATCATATAAACCTCAAAACAAAACGGTAATGTAAAGGTCACTGAATTTACTAAACAATGATAAACAAACCAATAACTCTTTATTTAGATAAATATGATTATAACGATGTAAAATTAAATAAAAGTAACGAAAACTGCTTCCGAGTACTTTCTTTTTCAAAATATTTTTAGAGATGGAAGTTTATCAAAGAAAACTACAAAAAAATAATACAAAGCTTGTCTACAAGGACAAGATTCAAACTCAACGTCGATAAAACAATAGGAACAGAAACATCAAATGACTTAAATATATATTAATTCTCGTAACAGTATCTAATACGACTAATTTTTCGAATCGAATAATTGTAAATAATCACTAAATGATTAAATACTAGCAATAAATGTAAATTCCCGCCCAAGTTTCTTTGTAACAAGGAAATCCAAATGGAAGTAACTAGTGAAAATATTTACATAGGGGATATAATTATACAGAGGCAATTGAAAAAAGTTCAAAGCGAATAAGACCAAGTGTTCCGGAAGGGTAAGCGTTTTTTTTATCATCGCCGACAGCCGTCACTAAAGTCTTGCTAGATCAAATCCAAGTGAAACCAAGTCTTCAAACACAGCAAGAGCATACCGACGTGTCAAAAAAACCAAGTCACCAAACACAACAAGAGCATACCGACGTGTCAACAAAACCAAGTCTCCA